GTTCTAAACTGGGTTCTTCGCCTTGAAGTGCACTTAAGGAGTGAGAGAGTAAGTAGTATGAGGTATGATTGTACTGATAGTTACTACCCAGACCCATCTGATCACCCTGGAGCAAGGAGATAAATTGTTGTTTTAAAAGCATTTGTTCAACTTCTCAAAATATCTTTGTGAAATGGTTAGTAGGAATATGGAAAAACATCTTTCTATAATGACAGTCACGTAATCATCAGTGTAGGAAATCCTAAGTAATCTTAAAAAATAATAATAATAACTGATTAATAAGTGGATTTGGCTAAGTCTCATGATACAAAGTCATTTGATAGAAATTGTATTTCCATATAACTAGTTATAAATAATCAGAATTGAAATAAGAGTATAAACAATTTATGGTTTTAGTTTAATATTGATTACAGTAATTCTACTTTATAATAAGAACTTGGTTATATCAGACAAAATAAGAGAAGTGTTTTCTCCTAAATTGATTATAAAGGAAACAGTTGTCTTTCCTGCACACAAATACACATTTGTGTTTCTCTTTCCTTTCCTGTATAATCTAAGGATTGTGCTTTTTAATAGCAGCTTGCTAATCCCTATAAATGAGTCTTAATGTAAGCATCCCATAGTTTTCATGAATCATGAATTTCAGCCTTTTTAAAAAATAACAAACAAACTTCAATTCAAAACCATATTTGCTGGTTGTTTCATCAGCACCCTTTTAGCTTGGGTGGTGAAGCAACAAGCCTACCGTAAATCCTAAGTAGTGTGGTATAGATGAGAGTCTAAGACTTTAATTATTTGTCATTTTATTCACAACGCTCAATTCCAGCATGGGAAAAATGACTCTTGTTGTAAAAGTATCATTCATTGTAAACCAAAAATGATACTGTATTATAGCATAGACAACAATGGGAACTGATTCTGAAAATGTGACCTGTCTGAGAAATTGAATAATAGTGAAAGTTATCAAAATGGAAAGAAGTGTTAATGTGAAATGCAGCCTTCTCAGAAATACTCTTTTCTGGCCTGTTTAGTTTTGCTTTTGTTGCTTGTCATGCATGAATGAAAGTGCTATACTCTCAGGGGAGCAGGAAAGCCTCTGTGTGGGTTGTTTATTTCCTTAATCCCTCCTCTTTTGTGATTTTTGATGTCAGATCTAAAGTGGAAAGCCTGTAAATATAATGATTATCACATGGATAATCACCTGCATTAGGAACCGCCCTGCTTCTCTATTCTAACCCTAGCTGTTCTCCACATGTCACATCTACTCTGCGGTTGGATTTTAACCTGACTGCTTCATTAGCTTTGTGAAACTCAGTATGAGGGGCCCTGGGGCAGCACAGATGGGAACTTGCTTGTTTTCTTTTCTCACTTTTACTGCGATGGCACACTAAACTAAAAAGTCCCTTTCAATTTAGTGTGATCAGTTGCTTAGAATCACTCCTGCTATTTGGACCCTCCCTTGCTCTTCTGTCCATCATTTATGCCCACTCTTTCTTCCCCAGTTTATGACATAATTCCTTTTCTTTCTGTCCCTTCATGCAGCGAATCTGAGATCTAAAATTCTGCAAATTCTTCCTGGGTCAAGCAGACTGTTCTCTGTGTTGTTTTGTTTGTGTTGCTGAGAGGGAAAAGTAAATGTTCCATCATTGTATCTACACTTTTAGATCAGAGGTTAGCAAAAGTCTGCAGTGATGTGAGCCAGCTGCCTTCTCTAATGGTGTGACTGGGGGCACCAGCTCAAGATCAAAGGAAGGTGGGAGGAAGTCAGAAGATAAGATCATTTTAAGCCACAGAACAAGTGCTTAGCTTTTCTAGTGATAGTGCACAGCTCAGCAAACCTGTATGAGGGGGAATTAAGATAGAAAATTGAGTTGACTTTCCTTAAGTATGGTCTTCCTCAGCCAGAAATGGTTGGTGCAAGGAATTGTTTATATGGATGCAAAAGTGTCCTGAGGCACAGTTTACTTTAAAAGTAATGATTTAACATGTCTCTGTCTTCTTGCAGTTAGTTCTGCACCATGCTAGATGACAGTTAATTTCCTATCACAGTCATATGAGCAAAACTGACATTAAAAAACAATATAAGGGATGGGAAATTTTTAGCTCAGTGGTAGAGTGCTTGCCTAGCAAGTGTAGGGTCCTAGATTTGGTCCACAACACCTCCCTCCAGTTTTTTTAATCTACTGTGTATGGATTTTTAAGACCTTATGTCTTTGTGTAATTTTAGTCATACAAGTTCTTCATTTTTCTTTCATGGCTCCTATGAAGTTTGATTTTAAAAAGTAGTTCCAGAACTGGGTTTGGTGGCTCACATCAGTAATCCCAACCATTCAGGAGGTGGAGCTCAGGAAGATCAAGGTTCAAGGCCAGCGTGGGTAAAAAGTTAATAAGACCCCTGTCTCAATCAGTAAGCTGGGTATTGTAATACATACTAGCAACACAGAAGGTCAGGGAGAAGGATTTCCATCTAAGGCTGTCCCCTAGCAATAATGCAAGACCTTACCTGAAAAAACAACTAAAGCAAAAAAGGGCTGGGGACATGGCTCAAGTGGTACAGCACCTGCCCAACAAGCGTGAGGCCCTGAGTTGAAACACCAGTACTGCCAAAAAATAAAGTTTTTTAAAAGCAGTTTTAACAGTTTTCCAGTTGTCTTTTTCATATAAGAATTCGTTTGGCTAATTTTGACAGCTTAGAAAACACTACATTGATATCTTTTAAACCACATTCTTTTCCTCAGTATCCAACCAGCAAATATTATTGATTATGTGATGTACATAATCAATGTTCATTGATTATGAGAGTTCTGTTGTAAGTAAATTGTCAAGAGGTTAACCCTGCTTGAGCCAGTTGTCAAGGTCATAATTCAATTTTTTTTTTCTTTTGGTCTACATTAACTGTAGTTAACGTGGTTGGTCTTGTGTTTCTCTAGTGAATGGCTTAAGGAGTTGTACTTTCAGCTTATCACTTTCTGTTAACTTCAGTGTTAAGCTGTAATCAAGCCTTTTGGCTTTTCCAAATGCTCAAAATGATTCTCTAAATCTGTTATTGGTATACTGGACCATAAATGCATATATATTTTTTTTCTTAATGTTTTCCTCAACCCTGTAGGTAGTACCCAATTTGTGAGAAGACACTGACTGTACTTTCTGCCTTACATGGTTTGGTGCAGCAGTCGTTTTAGTTGAGTTGGATCTGCTCACTACTCAGGCTCAAATCCCATCCTTCTATTAATATCTCTTGGCAGAGATAATTTTGGAGGAATGTAAGTTAAGATGTAGAGACTCTTGACAGTTGTCTGCAATTTTTTTCACTTTCAAGAGGGAAGTAGAGTTGAAAAATAATATTCCTCCATTTTCTATCAGTCCTAAAATGAAAGCATATGCACAAACCGAAGAGTCAAAGGGAAAGGATTTGGTTACACAGATGTGTTTTTATCATTTGATAGCCTGTTATAAAGGCATTAGGGCATATAATAATATCTATCAGATTGTGCTCTCAAGATACTTAAAATCTAGAACTTCATGTATTAAATTTTAACCATTAAATGTTCAACTTTTGGGTTTTTGGACTGTTCATTATAAAAGTCTTCAGACACAGCTAGTATAGATATTGAGCCCCAGATACCATATACATCTAGATTTCACAGCTGTTAATATTTTGCCAATTTTGTTTCCAGTTTTTCATGAAGTATTCTAAAGTAAATTACATATTCGACGGCATTTTATCCCTAAATACTTCAGGATGTATCTTTTTAAAATTAAGGATATTAAGAAATTTGGTACAAATGTACTGTGTACACATGTATGAAAATGGAAAAATGAGACCAGTTGAAACTATTCCAGGAGTGGAGGAAGGGAGAATAAAGGAGAATAATGAAGAGAGAGAATTCAAGTATGATATATTTGACATACTATAAGAACTTTTGTAAATGCCACAGTGTGCCCCTGCACAATAAATAAATAAAGGACATTTTTCTTACCAAAACTGATAATTCCCAATCCTTTCTCACTTCCAATTTATATTCAAATTTCTCCAGTTATCCCAGAAGTATCTTATAGCTGGTTTGTTTAAAACAGAATCCAATTAAGGTCCATACATTGCTCTTGGTCATTTTCCTCTCACTAACATTGACTTATTAAAGGGACTAAGCTAGTTACCCTGCAGATGTCCTACTTTATAGATTAGGCCATTTGCTCTCCTATTGTAGCCTTTAACTTTTTCCCCTTTCCTCTATTTCTTAGTAAGAGCAAGTTATTGAACTAATGTTTTGATTAATTCATGTTAAACATTTTTGGTCAGAACACTTTATAGACAATTCTGTGAACTTCATACTGCATCATAACAGAAGGCACAAATATTTGGCAGTCCTACCATTACTGATGATAAATGATAGGATCGATCACTGGGCTAAAGTGATGACAGCTTGATCCTTTCATTATAAAGTTACGCTTTGCTCCCTGTGACCAGCATACAATCTGTGATGTTTTGATTCCATGGAAAGACCCACTCCCCATCATCCTTTCACCTAATGAATTTAGCATCCATTGATGATCCTTGTCTATGTAAATTTCCATGGGGATTGCAAAATGGGGGTTTTTCTGTATCTATACATTTATTATCAGGCATCCTTCTCTACAGAAGAGCTTTCTGAGAAGTACTGTTTTAATTAGAAATATAACCACCAGCATGTTCCTTAGGTTTCAAATGATTGTCTTTCTTTGCTGAGGTCATAACACCTGAACTTACTATGGCAGCTACAGTAAAAACATGCACTACATCTTCTTTATTCTAACTTGTGAAGTGTGTTGACATTATGCTGCCTTCTTTTTATTATGCCAAGAAAAAAAGGAAATCTTTTTTTGGTGTAAGAATAAAAATTGAACTATGTGGTTATATTGAGATAATTGTGTAAAAAGAAGACTGTTTGAATGAGTTTCAAAATGGATTATTTCTTCATTACCTAGCACTTTATAATTAACTGTTCTTTTTTTAATTTCAGGAAGCTGCCACTTTTGCTAGAGAGCAAGGCTTTGAGGTGAGTTAACCCACAATTGCACACTAAACAGATCCTAAAGGTTTTTTTCTAGCTGATAATGAAGTTCTTTTGGACAGTGATTGATGTGCTATTATACTCTCAGAGCCTCGCAGCAGTTGCCATGGAAACTTGGCAGTCGTCATGGTTTCTTTGTTCTGCCAGCACAGTGTTATGACGCACTCTGCTAGGTCTGCACCCAACATCGCCTACAGATGTTATTTATTGAATTTTGAAAAGCCTCTTGGGAAGCCAAGAGGTTGGGCACGGTTTCAAGCTGCCTCTGCAGATATGGGGCCTGTCAGTTTGTTCAGTTAAAAAGCTCCTCATTAGCTGCATTACATTTCACAAGGAATCACTGCTGAAGCAGTGGTGGAGCAAGACTAAATAGTGAAATATAATGTCACTTAAATAATTTCAACACTATCACATGTAGATTATCATTATGCAAATTAATTTCCAAAAGGTTGTATTTAACAGTTGTTAGGAACTGATGAATTTCAATCCTGCTTATGTGAACTTACTGTTTGAATCTTTTTTTCTTTTCTGCCTTTTGCTCTCTTTTTTAAATGACGTAAAATATACATAAATTTTCTGAAATGACATATTGATAATTGGCTTTGATTTCCAGGTCTTAATTCTATTTTCCTGATAGAAGAATTATTCTCTCAAGACTCAAAAGTCCATGTAATAGTTATTGGCAAAATTAAGATAACAGTCAAGACCGTGTTTTTCTCTGTATAATATCCATCTTCCAGTTGATTCTTAGAAAACACTGACTTCAGTATGAACCCAGGTTAACTGACATAATTAACTGAGTTTATGAGACTTTTATGATGATGGTATTTAATTGAACCAAATTATGTAGAATGCTATGTCCTATATAGCAAATTGAACTGTTACATGACAGTGATTTTTTAAAATGTAATGTGACTTGAGCTGGAATCGAGAAACTCCTTATTTGCATACTCAGTATTATCAAATATCTAGAGAAGCTGTGGCATTGATTGGATAATATTAGTAAGCTTACATTGAGGTCTTTAAAGAAAGGTGTTTGAATTTGTGATAGAACTGTTATTTTTTAAAAGGCAGATTCATTATTAAGCAATAAAGTAATACACGTGCATGTTATCCAGTCTTAAGAATTGATGAACCAGAAATATAGCTTTCTCTTCATAGAGAAAGACAGTGAGCATATAATACAAGTGTTTTCTCCAGATCCTATGTGAAAGAACTATTTCAGCAGGAAAGTCTCATATACTTGATTATTGGAAAGTGTAGTTTCTTGGGAGTTAGGTTTTCTGTTGTTTTATCAGATTCTAGTCACTATAAAGTTAAGTCATTTGGAAAAAGGATTTCTAAGATTCTCTCTCTGTTATTATTATTTTTTTTGGCTATTTTATATTTCATTTTGTAATTTTCCAAACTGGCAATTGATATATAGGACAAAATATAATCAGGAATATTAATTTAAAAACCTCATGTTTTGATCAAGACAACAAAATTCTCAAAAAGATAAAAGTATGTATAACACAAATGCATATGTTGTCATTTTACCATGTAACCATAAAAAATATTTAAGTTCTGTAACTTTTCAGATACTTAGAAGTACAACATTGTATAACAAATGATCTTAGTTCTAAGTTACATAATAATTTTTTTAAAATAGTTTAGCAGGCCTTACTAATTCATACTTTTATTTCCCCCCTGAGCTCCTTGCTCTGAATATGCCTGAATTACATTCAGTTGTTGCAACAAACTACTTTTTATATTTCCTACTAACCAGCACTATATTAATCTTTCATTAGTTCTTATTTAATGATTTCTGAATTGTTTCTTTTTGCCATAATTGATTAGCACATATAAGCAAGGTGATGATGAATGTAATTGCATACCTTATTACCTCCTGACATAGCAAAACTGTTGTCAATGAGGTTGTCTGTGATATGTTAGACGGGATAAAGCACATAGTATCTTGATGTGTCCCTTTATGGATTCCCAAAAACATTACAAGCATTGCAGAATATATATGAAGCATAAGTACAATAGTCTCAAGTAAGCCTTGCTATTAAAATATATTCCCTGTATAGAACACTATCTAGAGAAATTTTCAGTGATATTTATAATGTCATTAAAGTTTTCTTAGTTCATGAGACAGAAATATTAAAACAGGTTTGGAACTTAGTATTCTTTAGGAGTAAAACAACAAAAAATCTCTTTATTTTAACAGTTTTCTGTGTATGGAAGTGTGTTAATGCTCTAAATCTAGTATGACAAACTAGACAAAAATCTGCATTTTATCTCTCAACTTCAATATTGCCTCTAAATTTTGAGCAAGAATGAGAAAAGAGAAATGAAAAAATAAAAAGAAAGAAAAGGTGAGAATTTTTCCTTCCCTCTAGCACTGCTGCTGCCCTACCCTCCTTTTCTAATATAAATCCAAATCAGTTCCCAAAGCCACTGAGTGTTGCCACTAGTGATGTCTGCTGACAAACAAATGCTTCGGAAAATAACGAGTGTTTATTCATCAGGAAATATCCACACTGGCATTGTTTATGATATTCTGGTTATCTTCTCTGCAAATTTTAGATAATCTCAATTTTTCTTTTTAGAAATCTTTAAAATGAATTGGGTAATTTTCAGTGAGAAGCAGCAGCTTAGGAGGGCACTGGAGAAAGAGATAAAAACTAGAGTTGGGCAGAACACAAAGCAGAAGAGAGAGTGTGTATATATACATATACATATGTATATATATATGGAAAATTGCATAGGGCCTGATTTAAATGACAGACCTGCTAAGAATTTAAAGTAATAATTCTTGAGGTAAAAAGTTTCATAAGGCCTTTTATTATTCTTTAAAGTCAGATCAGAATGCAATGTGTTTTTAAATCTACCTTATCTTAAGATGAACTGATTAAAGTTTTATATTTTTAGAACCCAAATAAAAATAAGGTACTTAACAGCATGTGGCATTATGAAGCGTTCTAAAAACGACTGAAAATTGATTTAAATTAAATAAGGAAAATACCTACAGATACTCTCTGTATTTTCATTGTCTCTGCAAAAGAGCATATGTCAAACGATGAAGGGAATTCATATCTTCCCTATTTGATCATTTATTCAGCATTACTCCAAGCAAGAAAGTTTAATTTTCTTGTTATAGATCTCAAGATATCATACTTCTGTCTATAAAGGGCACAAAGCAATCTTCTTCCCTTTTCCTACTTCCCCCACAGCCTCTGACTTTGATCAAAGGATACTAGGCTTGTAGTCTTTCTCTAACCAATGAGGTCTCTGTCATCTTCTTAACTGATTTCAAAATTGAAAATTCCAAGAGAGAAAATTGTACTATCCAATATAGTGTTCACTAACTACATGTGGCTATATAAGTTAAGATTAATGAAAATTAAATAAAACTTAAAATTAAAAGCCAGGTGTGGTGTGTAGTCCCAGCTACTCTGGAAGCTGAGGTAGTGGTATTGCTTAAGCCAGGTATTACAGACCCAATTTCAAAAAGAAAATAATTGCTTACACACACTTCAAGTGCTATGTAGCTTGTTTCACTAACAACTACTTTATTGGACAGTGCAGTTGTCAAACATCTAAATTATCTCAGAAAGTTCCATTCAACAGCTTTGGATAGAGAATATTTAAGAGGTGTTGATTCCCAAAAAATCCTCTTAAGGTAATTTTAAGGTTCCTGTGTTCTTTCCAAATATAAAAATTGTAATGAACTGTCACTCACAGTTTGTGAAAATAAGACCTAAGTCAGGTTCTGCTGGCTAAGAGAGTATACTGCTGTTTTCATAGGTGCATAGATTATAAGAGAGGGCAATTTAAAAACGTATTATGGGACACAGATAACATAGTCTTCTAATTCTCTCCATTTAATCTTTTTTTTTTTTTTTTTTGTGGTACTGGGGTGTGGGCCTCACACTTGCTAGGCAGGTGCTCTATCACTTGAACCACTCCACCAGCTTTACTGAGCACTTAATATGTGTTTAACACACCCCTACGGACCCTGAAGAAAAGGAAGAAATGACCAGAGTGTGTTGTGAAAAAGAATTTGGAAAGGGTTCCTATTTTGGATAAAATGGCCATAGAGTGATTCTCTGAGAAAGCAAACTCTGAAAAATATTAATTCCTAGCAATGACAGAAAAAAAAAAGAAAACAAATAGGGTAACAAAATTGAAATAGAGGGCACAAGAGCACTAAGTCCTCCAAACAAGAAAGAGCCTAATGTGCTGTGAACTCCAGAAACTTAGACGAGGCCATTGTGATTAGACTGGGGTGAACAGGGAGGAGAGTCGTGTGAGATCAAACTGATGACTGACACACATACAAACACCATAACTACAATAGGAGTTTCTATTCAGAAGACAAAACAGAAAATGGTATGAGTAAGTGAAGTAATGTGTGGGAACACCACAACTGGACTTCTACAGAAGTAGGTAGATTATGACAGGATTCTTTAACATTTCTATTATCAGCCTGTTAAAAATGCAATAAAGAAAAAGAGGACACATTCTTTGCTAAATTTAAGGTGTGCGATCCCCAGTGACTATAAAAGGTCAAATTTACCTTTATAAAATGCTTCACAGTTTATAAAACCTTTTCCAATATATCATTAATACATTTGATACTTCACAAATCTTGAGAAGTAGATAGGGAATGTATCACCATAGTCAGTTCAACAGATAAAAAATAGACTATATGCCTTGTTCAAAGTTACACAGCTAATGCATGCTGGCAGCAGAACCAGAGCTCAACTTTCTTAAATTGCACTGCTTTCTCTCTCATAGTCTAGCATATCTTGAAACCCAAGGACTAAAATTTATTAGAAACCAGAATAATTAAGAAAAATAGCAAATTTAAATAAAAGATCAAGAATAGGTTGTAAATGTGTGGGAAAATGATTTAGGAGAAACATTCTGTAGTTTTGTGATAACAGCAAAAAACACACTGGCAGAAATTTAGAAGCAATATAATCTATGAATAGAATGGAGTAGTGATTAAGTGTACTATTATCCTTGGAATCAGACTTTGGGATGTTAGTCCTGACTTCACTACTTACATTTAGGACTTTTGACAATTTACTTAACCTCTATGACTCAGTTTCTTCATGTGTAAAATGGGATACAGTAATACTGCAGTAAATATTTTAATGAATACTTTCATAGCTGTATACATGGCTCTTCTTCATCTATGAAATAGGGATAATTGTAGTATCTTCTGTCCAGAAAAATTCAAATTTAATGACTTTAGAATTCAATAATGGCTCATAGCTCAGTTGTATGAGCTTTCTTCCTGTTTGTCTTTTTCCTCCCTTTATTGATACAATAATTGAATTCTCAAAACTCTTGTGGTCCTTTCTAGAGATTTTGGGCCAACCTAAGGAACTAACTGTTTTAGGGAGTATTAAAATGAAAGTCATTAAAATGAATAAAAATTGATGTTTATTAAGTTCTTAGAATGCAGTGACTGCTAATTAAATTCTCTTTCACTTATCTACGTTCATCTTCACAACAGTTATTTTTAACTTTTTTAGGCAAAGTCTCCCTATGTTGCTCATACTGGCCTGCAAATTTGGATCCTCCTACCTCAGCTTACCCAGTGTTGGGATTGTAGGCACTAGCCACCACACCTGTCTTTATTTTTAATTTTTTCTTTTAAAATAACTTTAGTCTTCAAAAATTTCGAAACCAGTACAGAATTCCCACATACCTTTCACCTACCTTCCCCTAATGTTACCATCTTCTAAACCAAAACATTAATACTGGTATAGTGCTAAAAACTGAATTGTAGGCTTTATTCTGATTTCACCAGTTTTTCCTCTAATTCCTTTTTCTGTTTCAAAACCTAATCCAGGATTTTACATTACATTTATTTGTCATGTCTCCTTAGTCTTTCCCAATCTACTCTTTCCTTGTTCATGACCTTGATTCTTTTGAAGAATCCTGGTCAGCTATTGTGTACTCTCCATTTGAGTTTTTCTGGTATTTTCTCATAAAAAGGTTGAAGTTACTCATTTTTGGCTGGAAAACCTGCTCAGAGTGCATATCAGGGAGGTAAATGGTGTGACAGTGTCTTATTGCTGATAATGTTAACCTTGATTGCTGGGCTAAGGTTACCACCTTAGCTGGTTTATGCTCTGTAAAGTTACTCTTTTTCCTTTGCAATTAATAATATTTTAGAGGAAATTCTTTAGGACTGTGCTAATATACTATTTTATCTAGTAATTTAGGATCATTTAATTGATCACTGGTTAAGTTGGTATCTATCAATTTCCTCTACTGCACCATTACTATTTTTTCTTTGTAATGAGTAAGTATTTTAAAGAGAGATTTGGTACTGGAAATTGAACTCAAGCCTTGCATTTACCAAGCCTACAAAATTCTGCCACTGAACTATACCCCCAGCCCTAACATCTTTTAGTTGAATGTATTCTTAGTTTTGTCAATAAGTAAACACAGCCTTAGGTTTATTAGCCTCCTCAAGGTCACAAAAAAATAAGCCTAGGTCTGTCATATTCTAAAATTCCTTGTAATTTTATCATTCTGTTAAGATGTTTGATCTCATGTGTGACTGAGAAGAACTTAAGGAGGATGGAGAAAAGTAAATACGTAGAAATAGAAATATGTAGCTTTGGGAAATGAAAATTGAGCTTTAAACAAAAAAATTTTATACTAGACAAGAATAACTCTTGCGAGCAAGCAATAGCTCCTGAAGGAAAATTGAGATTAGGTATTTACTGACAAGTGATTCCAGAGTGAATGACAAAGGGATTTTTCATGAACTGTGGATATGGATACAAATAGAATAAAATTTACATAAATCTGGAAAGATTTACGGTTTGTAATTAGAAAGTTTATTTCAATCTTGAATTGCTATTTTTATAAGATTTAATTTGAGACATTAGAAAGGTTTCTTTGATTACGTTAACAAACTCCCACAATAAACTGTCTTTCCACATAGTTTGCAAAAAGCAACCATTGAATGTTATTCTTAATTTATTCCTAATAGCACCTTGAAGAAAGGCTTCCTTTTAAAAAAAAAAAAAATCAGCTGAGCACTGTGGCAGGCACCGGTAATCCCAAGTGTTCTGGAGGCTGAGAAAGAAGTGTCTCTTGAGCCCATAAGTTTGAGACTTGCCTAAGTAGCATAGCAAGGCCCTGTCTCAAAATATCAAAAACATCTAATACATTCATAAGACTGTGCTTCCATGATGATAGACTGAATGTGTTGCCTCTCTGTTGAATATGAATTATACTTAATCATAAACACAAATTAATAGTAAAATATATTTGTGCTAAGGAGATTGGCCGAATATATTTGAGTCACTCTAATTAAATGTATATTATTTAACAAGGTGAAGAAATTGTTATTATATGGCATTTTTGGACCTTTCAACTGTTAGTAATCAAAAACATGGAAATTTCTTTTCTCATCAGAGTTCAGGCTTAGTTCTATTCTAAAATAAGCAACTGAAAGTGAAATAGCATATTCAAAAGGTCACCAGCAGTATCCTACCACAAGTACTATTCTTTTCAGAATCAGCAGTCCTCCAAAAATCATCTTGCTAGGTGTATTAGAAACTTCACTTCATACGTTCTCTGGAATTTAAATGTTTAGTGACCAAACAAGCATTTCACTATGGATTGTCATACTTTGCACTGATCGTAGCCCTTCATTGTGAATCATGTGCCCCTGTGCTGTTCATCTTAAGCTTTTCTGCCCTGTGTGTCCTTCACTTGTGCCATTCCTGTATTCCTCCAATGGTTTGTGTTTCTTTCTCTATAACTAGGTGAAACTTTGCACAGCAATAAAGAAAACTACCAACAAAGCCCATCCACGGGCAGTTTTAAGGGTCCACTAAATGCAGGCGTGGATTTTTAAGTTATCTAAGTGGTTGAAAAACATGATTTTTAAAACTTGCCTTTTGGGGAACTGGAGGCATGGCTCAAGTACTAGAGCACCTTCCTAACATCATGAAGCCCTGAGTCAAACCCCAGTTCGGTACCACAAAAATAAAAATAAAAAAGTTTTTTTATCTTGTTTTTTTTTTTTGGAAGACAAAGTCTTGCTATACAGTCCAGGCTGACCTCAAACTGTGATCCTCCTGCCTCAGCCTCCCAGTGCTGGGATTATAGGTGTATATCACCAGGCCTAGCTCTAAAACTTGCCTTTAACTCAAGAGTTAGATTTCAAATTAGAATGTTTATGATATAAAGCTTCATGGCCTGTGTGGTATGAAAAGCAGTATCATCATTTTGAGAATTAATTTATGTTTTTTAACTTTATTCTTTTCTTAAAGAAAATTAAGTATTTGCATAGGAAATGTTAGCATTTTCTGTCTCTCATTCAGTTCTTTGAAAAATTTGTCATTATAGCAACTATAATTTCCAAAGTCTACATAATTAACTCTGTAAATCTCTAAAATAATTAAATGTTCCTTTTTTATCTTTTTGTTGGTACTGGAGTTTGAACTATGCCACTTGAACCACTCTACCGGCCAAATATTCCTCTTTTTAAAAAACTCTCTTTAGCCAGGCATGGTGGCATATGTCTGTAACACCAGCCCTCAGGAGACAGAGGCAGGAGGATAATAAGTTCAGTGCTAGCCTGGGCTACATAATGACACCCTGTCTCAAACAAACAATCAAATCTCTCTTTAGTTGTAAATTTGAAAAGTGACTGGATATTTGTTGGCACTGAAGAATTATTATTAATTTTTTTTTTGTTAAAATACCTCTTTTTTTTTTCATTTTTCTTTTATTATTCATATGTGCATACAAGGCTTGGTTCATTTCTCCCCCCTGCTTATTATTAATTTTTAAAATATACCCTACTAAGGGGCTATGTTTAAGTGTCATTACTTTTCAGAAATACATACTAAGGACTGGATGTGTGGCTTCAGTGGTACAGCACCTGCTTAGCAAGTACAATGTCCTGAGTTCAAGTGTCACTACTACAAAAAAAAAAAGAAAGAAGTAGTAAAGGATTTACAGATGAAATTATATATCACCTAAGGTTTGCTTCAGAATAATATGAAAGGCAGGTAGATGGTGTAGATGAAATAAAATTCATCATAACTCTAATCTGATTGCACATTGATGATGGTTCCTTGGAAGTTACTGTAACATTCTGTTTACTTTTTTATATGGTTAAAAAAGTTTTTTGAATGTCTCCTGGTAGATACTATGTCCCATCAGAAGCAAAATTGTTAATCTACTAATGAAGTTTTGTTTTACTCTACTGGTTATAAAAGCTTTTTTGTCCTTTCTATTATTAGACTAAAAACATTAAAGAGATAGCCAAAAAGACACAAGCTCTTCCAAAAGTGAATTCAAAGAGGCAGCGGATCGTGATCTTCACCCAAGGGAGAGATGACACTATAATGGCCACAGGTACGTGTGGAAACTATGTGGCAAACCTAGTTTACAGCAATTGATTGCTTACAACACAATTCTTTGTTTTCTATTATAAAGAATTCTCAGCAGTGTACTTTTTAACCATTTTTTTTTATTTTAACAAATGTTCCTACCCTCCATCTTTGTAGAAATGATTTCATTTTTCAAGATGATAATTTATTAAAATTCAGTTGAGGGCCAGCTGTGGTGGTCCACACTTATAATCCCAATTACTTGGGAGGTGGAGACTGAGAGGATTCCAGTTCAAGGCCAGTCTGGGCAAAAGCTATCAAAATTCCATTTCAACAAACAAGGTGGGTATGATGGTTCATGTCTGTAACCCCAGCAATGCAAAACATGTTGGTAAGAGGATCACAATCCAAGACTAACCCAGGCAGAAAGCAGGATACCCTATCTGGAAAATAACTAAAGCAAAAAGGGCTGGGTCATGGCTCAGGAGATCAAGCAAAACCCTAAGTTCATCTCCAGTATCACCAACAAATAGTAACACAATCTAAAAAAAAATTCAGTTGACTAAGACCACTTCAATATAGTTTATTTACTGTAGAAATTTTGAAGATTTTGTTTATACAGAAATGTCTTTCCTTAAAAAAGAATACATTTTACTTATAAATATTTGCTCTATAAAATATACTTACTCATTATGAGCAAATCTAGAAATGTTGCTTCTTCAAATTTTTCTTGAAGAAGCAAATCTCATTTCTGTTTTTATTCAGCCATCCATTATATAGTACTCATAGGAATAAAATAGGAATTTCATCTAATGAACGAACATATTATTGGTTAAAATTATTAATATTGTCAATATGATGCTACTTCCTACTAAAGTCAAAATGGAGAGTTTCTATTCTATCTGAATCATTGAGATTAAAACCAGTTAATTACTTTTGTAAAAAGTAACAATTGTAACCTTTGTGTTTGTTCAGTATACAGCTAAACATTGAAATATAAGATATGATCCTTGGGGGAAGGGGAGGAAAGAAAACAAGATGTGATCCTTAAAGATCTAACTGGTGTCAAATGCCAGTGACTCATACCTATAATGCTAACTACTTGGGAGACTGAGATTGGGAGGATCTTGTTTCAAGGCCAGCCCTAGCACATAGATTGCAAGATATCATCTGCAAAGATAACCAGAGCAAAATAGACTGGAGGTGTGGCTCAAGTGGTAGAGCACTGGCTTTGCAAGTATGAAGCCCCGTCCCACAAACAAAAAGAAAAAATTTAACTGGCAAATAAAATTAATATAAAGTATGAGTCCAATATAAAGTATGATCATATTTCTTATTAATAAAAATATGGATTATTTTGACTTTGAGAAGGAGATCTATAAAGCTTAAAGAAAGTTGTTACAGTGACAATGAAGTAAATTGGCTTTTTAGCATATATTAATTTTACAAAGTAAGGGGTTTTATTGTGATATTTCCAATCATGCACATAATGTACTTCAGTCAAATTCACCCCCTCTGTCACTCTTTCTTATCTCCCATGAAGTAAATTCTCATGAAGCAAATACAGAAAACCTGAAATGGTCATCAGTGAAATTATGGTCCAACTTTGGGACCACCATATTACAGCATTATCAAAAGTAAGATTCAGAATAATTCAGTGAATAGTAAGGAGTGAAGTGGGGATGTCCATGACATGAAACTGGTCTTCAGTTAATTGTTGAAGCTGGGCAGTGGAGATATGGTGTGGGGAAAGGTCACTGTACTGTTAAATCCACTTATATATATGTCTGAAATTTTTCATAATTCAACCCCTAAAAAAGATAGTTAAAAATGTTTTTTCAGACAAGAGTCAGAGATATTAAATGGCTTTCCCAAGAGAGATTGACATCCTTGCTAAACCTTAGATTCTGGCGGAGATTTAAAAAGAGGTACCAGGCACTGTGGAACTTTTTTTTTTTTTTTTTTTTTTTTTGGTGCTGAGGTTTGAACTCAGGGCCTCCTGTTTGCTAAGCAAGCACTCTACCACTTGAGGCACACCCCAGCCCTGACTATGTAATCTTTTACTGCTGTGGCAGGAAAAGGCATGTTGTGAATTTGTGTGAGAGAAAAGAGCCATAATAGGATAGCCCTGCATTGATGCAAACTATCTGATATGCTGTCTTCCTATAGTGTGTGGCCTATTGATGTCTTAGCAATGAATAGTTCAGAAAAGTGAAAACATGCTCTTATCTTATAGGAAATACAACACTACTTTCAGATTCACAAATGCTGTTTAGTTTGTGGAGAGATTCATTTTAAGGCCTTCTGTATTCCAGAAACACGTATCATACAAGTGTCCTCCTCATTGTGAATTTGCACATTTTTCCCACAATTGAAAATTTGCCTCCCCCATCTTCTGACTGAATTTCCTTTTGGACTTATTTTATTCTTTATTAAATCTGAATTTCCTTTTGGAGTTATTTTGTTCTTTATTAATCTATTAATCCATTCTTAAGAATACTTCCCATCAGAAATTTATTTGAGGAAAGACACTGGCTAATCTTTGTTATTCCTACCATATGAAAATGAACTTAAATTAGAGGATGCACTATATCTGCAATGCATGATAACTATAAGACGGATAGAGAATCTGTTCAGTAATGTCAGCTACAAAAGCAAACATGATAAATGTTAATGCAGTTTTGAGCCCTGGGATAAGCTATTCAGCACACAAGCATAGCTGAATCTCTTTCTATGTTGTTATTCATGGCAGCCAAATAAATGTCAATAATAAAAGAGAATTAAAGATTTTCATTTCCCAGAGGCAGTCCTCTAATACAGCTTGATCTTTCATTTCATTTGTAATTCGTTCTCATGTCAGGATGCAATCATTCGCCAGGCTCTGGGTGTCATGTTAAGTCATTTAATAATGATTAAGAACATAAAAATGCTTGGCCTGTGGGGCAATTCACAGAAGAGATGCCAATTTGTTATTGTTTTCCTTCCTTTCCTCCTGAATATGGATCAGTTTTTTTCTACCTCCTAGCATTAAAATACTAATGGAAGATAGGAAGGTAAAGTGTACCTTAATTTACCATAAGTGACATTCCAGAATGGCACAAGACAGTGCTAACACACTTATTAAAGCACTAATTAGGAATTATTGTGCCTTAAACCTCACATTGCAGAGTATTTTTAAATGATCACATTGTTGCATTGTAACATTTAGCAATAATGTTAACAAGATCAATTTCCTTGGTATTTTATTCTAGAGACTTACCTCTTTTTGAGATATGGTATCTATAAACCACCTTCTCTTAAAATTTTAATCTTTTAATTCTTCTTATTTAAAATGCCAGGAAATCTAAATTCTTTTCCACTCATCCTGTTTTATTGGTCCTCTCTTTCATATTGGGTTTCCATCCAGTTCAGAGGTTCTGTCCCATATCAGTCATTGTCTTTACGAGCTAATTGAGTTAAAAAAAACTTTTTGTTGAGGGAGGTCTAGACAATGAAGAGTATGAAGAGTAACACAGTAGCATTTCACTTCTAGTTATTTGCCCAAAAAAATTGAAAACAGAATTTGAACAGGTGTGTATGCACCCATGATCATAGCATTGTTATAACAATGCTATGATCATGGGTGCATAACAGTTATATGAAAAGGTACAAATATTCATCTACGGATGAATAGATAAAATATATATGTGTATACATACATGTTTATATATATTTACATACATACATACAATGGACTATTATTCAGTCTTTTATAAAAAGGAGTATCTGACACATGCTATAATGTGGATGAACCTTGAAGATACCATGGTAGGTGAAAGAGCTAGGCACAAAGGGTAAATATTGTATGATTCCACTTATATTATATATTTAGAATAGTTGGATTTATAGAGACAAAAATAGAATGTTGGTAGCCGCAGGCTGGGATAGGAAAGAATGGGAAGTTATTGTTCAACGGGCACAGTGTTTCAGTTTTGCAAGATAAAAAAAAATTGTCCATCCATTGAGATGGATGGTCAGTGATGGTGACACAATAAGAATGTACTGAGTTACACTGAGCTGTAAACTCAAAAGTGGTTAAAAATGGTAAATATGGTATGTTTTAATCACAATTTTAAAAAACAAACATTAAATAATGAAAAAGAGTAAGAGGCTGAAGACGAAGACAGAGTGAAAAGATACTGTTCATTTTGATCCTCTTAATAAATGTTGAATGAACTCGTTTAGTGACACAGGAGTCACTAAACTTTAGAAAACCTAAGAACAACACTTATTTTCCGAATGGGCAGAAACTACTACTGAAGTCTTATTATATTAACGCCTTATCATATTCAGGATTATTATAAAATATTATGTATGTATGTATATGCATATATATATGTAGTGCATCATAGAGAGTTTAATTTTCCCAGCTTTCCATACTAAATATATCACTAACAAGAGAATGCAATAGGTCTTTGGTTCTAAATTGAAAGTAATAAATTTCAAACGGCTGCCCTAAAAAAAAATAATAAGGAAATTGATTTTGGAGAATAAGTTCTAGACTTCTTTTTTGAATACTTTCATACTTCTTTCTACGCTGCTTGAATTTCAGTTTTGCATAAAGAGAGATAACATATAGGTCAGAGGTTTTTAACTAGAAAACTACTATCATGCCAAAATCACCTAGTGAGTTTTTGGTAAATGGAGCCCTGCCTTCTTAAATGCACCTTCCCCTCAATCTGACAATCATACTGGAATAAATACCCACAAGAAGATATAATAGAAGCCAGTGCGGGTAGAGTTATCTAGCATTGTGTATTTGTTGACAAAGTTCCCTTACATGATAACAATGCTATCTATTCTCAATCTCACTTTGAGAATCAATTAGATGTCCACAGTAGGAAGATAGCATTGATTCCTAGAAGGACCTTTAAGTCAAATTTATTGAGATACAGATTACATATATTAAAATTTATATATATTTTCCTAAAGAATATATAAAAACTACCACAGCCAAAATACAGAACACCTCAAGTACTTTATATTGAAGTATAATATGCATATAAAATTGATACAGCTTTTCATTGCATGGACATACCTGTGGAACTACAACCAGATTTAGAAATCCAACATTGTAATCCAGCATTCAGAAGGGATAAGGCAGGAGGATCTCAAGTTCCAGGCTGTCCTGGGTTACATAGCAAGACTGTCTTTTAAAAAAGATAGAAAGAAAGAAAAAAGACGGCCAGGTGCCTGTAGTCCTAGCTACTTGGGAGGCCAAGAAAGGAGGATCTCAGTTTGAGGCC